TCATCATCATCACCAGAACCAACCTCTCCCAAAATAGCCCGCAGGCAAGAATGTGCCAATAAACCAGCAGATCACTCTTGGACTCCAAATTGTCTGCACGACCAGCTCTGATCTTGCCTCATCAGCCCAATAAAGATTTAGCCCGCATTTTCAGATCGCTTAGATTGTGATCACTTAAATTTTAGATCATTTAGAAAATGATCAAGATCATTTTAAAAAGAATTGTACAGCGCAATGTTTTTGGAAAAATGTATCAACTTTTAAATGTTTTCCTTTTTTTAGAAACAAGGAATTTCTCTTTTTAGACATGGCAATTTACTGTGGGAGGGAAACTATTGAGTTTCAATTTCAGTATTTCAAACTGGTAAGCCAAACACTTTAGTCCACTATGCTACATGCCAAAGTGTACAGCAGTCTGTTTCAAATTCTGCGTTTTAAAAATAATAAAGTTGAAATCCATCAATGATAAAAGGACACACCCTTCAAATATAGCAAGGTTCCTTGCTGCGAAACTTTATATGGACTGCACAGGGATAGGTAAGCTCCCTTCAAGTAGCATCTCAGAAATGAAAACTCTTAGCTATTCAGACTAGAACTTGGAAGCAAAATGAAAGTACTGCAAAACAAATGGAGATTATAGTGTTGTGTAAAATCATGTTATTGTGTCCTATACAATTTTTGTTTAAAATATTATTTTAAACTTAGAAATGTCAGTTACTGAGGGAAAGAATAGCAGTCTTTTTTAATCAAAAATGTTTTTTTATGATGTGACTGGGTCATCATGTGTTTCATTTCCTTGCTTACTATGATCTGCCTGTACTGCTCATGAACAAAGTTTTCATTGTACTGAGGTACACATAACAATAAATAAACCAAATCAAATTTATGGCTGTCTTGAAAGGTCATTCAGTAATTGTCGTTATCTGAAATACTTAATAGTTTTGTAATTTCATAACCCTATGCTTAGTTTTGATTTTCACACTTCTTGCTTCTTCAGTTTGTTGCTTTCCGTTGGGAGCACAGTGCAAGGCCAAAGCATGGTCTTACAGGAAACCTATGCAAATGCAAGACTTGCACAGCACTACCCTCACTGTATTCGCCGAGAAACGGGGTGGGTGTAACTGACGTATTAGATGCAATGAGAAAATAAAAAGCTAAAGTTTACTTCCTTAAAAGGATCACAGTAGTGTGGCATTCAATTCATCATAGAATCATAATCATAGAATCCCTACAGTGTGGAAACAGGCCCTTCGGCCCAACAAATCCACACCCACACTGACAGCATCCCCCCCATTCCCCTATAACCCACCTAATCTACACATCCCTGAACACTACGGGCAATTTAGCGTGGCCAATCCACCTAGCCTGCACAGCTTTTGACTGTGGGAGGAAACCGGAGCACCTGGAGGAAACCCATGCAGACACGGGGAGAATGTGCAAACTCCACACAGACAGTCACCCGAGGCTGGAATCAAACCCAGGTCCCTGGTGCTGTGAGGCAGCAGTGCGAGCCACCATGTCGCCCCATTGTTCTGTCTTTCATGAGGAAAGTCTGGTAACTGATCTTTGAGCATTATGTTTGATTGGTTAAGCCTGGGTGTGAAATCAGAGTGAAGGAAACAGAAGTTGTTGGAGGTAGACTGCGGTGTGCATGAATGCAGATATTTTCTAATTGCAGAGATACTCCAAAACTCTAGTAAAACAAAACCTGTTGCACTCTTACAAACTAGTGTCATTTCTGCTTTGCTTTGAGATATATAAAAATACAACAATGCAGCAAAATACAAAAGGTGGCATTGAACTGAGAAATACTGACTTCAAATCCATATTTCTTTATTCCAATCTTACATCACAATCTGAGCTGAAATCTGAATCTCTGTTCTCCCTGCATGTGGAAGCATTGGGTAGAAAAGGAAAGGTCACATCAGATTGTTCCACTCTCACGTACTGCCCTTTGGTGAGACACAAGATCAACAATCGTAGTCAATGCCCTCTATAACTAGCAAGATCATTAAGAAGAACCTTAGTTAAGAAAAAGTAACAAGGGTGGGTGATCTCAGAGAAGAAAAAGCTGTTTACAGAGACATTCTATTTAAAATTGTTCTATTTCCAATTAAATAGTCGTGAGGTTAATGCAAAAAACATGCAAGGGTTCATTGTTGCTTTGTGAGACCCTGCCAGAAACAGTGTTTCACCAAAAGCTTGCAATCCTGTGAATATTTCTTATAGCTGGAAGAGTAATTAATAAAAAAGTTGTAAATATATTCCATTAGTGAGCAGATGGAAATTAAATATTTGGAACTTCCTCCAGATTTATACTTGTCTGGATGAGACATTCCACTGTACCATATGGGTAAAATAATAAAACAATTGTGTTCAGAATATTTTTCTAACCAGGTAATTCAGCTAAAACAATCCATTTCATTTGGTACAATAATTAAGACATTCAAGATTTTCTAACAAAAGCTATCCAATGGAAAACTGCTCTATACAAATTTATTCATGTGCAGGAAAGCCTATCAAGCAATAAAAATACATAGCTAACATACCCAAGTGTATTAAATTGTTCCTTGTTGTATTTTCATTTTAACTATATACATTATAAAATAAAACCACATCAATTAAAAATCAGATTTTCAACATTTAATTTTAATGGCTTTGTGTGTGTGTTAACATAAACTATGTCCTGAAACAATATATGTACAGGAGACAACCCCACCTATTACTGTCAAGAATGAGTTATGTAGCTGGCAATAGTCACAATTGTTTGTTGGCAGAAATGGGAGTGTTGGTAGCAGTAAAAGCACGAACATTATTTTCCATCTGCCTGTAGTGTTATAGCTTACCATCAATATGTTTCTGATTTTAGACCATCTTAGAGTGCCAACAGTAAGAAGCGTTTGCCAGGGCTCAGTGGAAAGGCAGATAGTTGTTAGATGGGTGGGGTAGTAGTATCACTGATCAGTTAGTCAATTTTCCACTCGCTTTTTCACTACTGCTGGTGGACCAGGCCAGATCTCTTATTTTTTCAAAACCTGAGCTTTAGTCAGCTGCAACTTGTGAACATCATGCTTTTTGAAATAATTATCAGCCAGTGATCTTTAGGGGCATCAGATTATAATCTTGTATTGGAGATTTGATGGACTTTGATCCCCATTATGTGTCCCCTACTTGAAAATTTACAAGAGTGGACATTGTCTAATAATAGGATTGCTCTCATTTGCGAGCTATGTCACTTAGATGACTTGCTGACTCTCATCGTGGAATATCAGTTAACTGTGTATGCAAAGAGTTGTCAGTACTTATCAAGATCAAAATAACTTTTTTTTAACATAAAGGAAAACCACTTTCTTCCCCTTATTTTATCCTCCACCTTTCTCTTAAATACTGAGAATTTGGACGATTACACAGTTCTGGTCACACTAATCCAAAAAGGCTACAGTGGCATTGGACAATGTTGCCAGTTACTAAAGCAGCCAATGCAACAAGAAAGAGAGACAAATACTTCTAGCATTGTTCTAACCAGAGGGAGGATTTTTAGACCATAATTGGGACAGGCATTGTGTCATGTAAGGTGCTGGCATTGGGAGAATTTTATGATAAGACAGGGTAAGTATTATAAAGCATTAGTTTGCTTTCAATTTAGAAGAATGAAGAATTCATTTTTTTAACTTGATGCTGGGGAAAAGCACATAGCTTGAAAAGCTTTTATTTTCAGTTTGCAGAAATCCTGGTTAAAGTTGGATATATGAGCCAGTTCCTCCTAAAGAAAGGAGATCTTTCAGAACCATTAAGAAATAGGTTACTTCAATATAAGGGTTTAGATTTGAATGTTCCAGACCAGAAGTGTTTGGTCAGAACCTTAGAGGGCATCTTTGAAGCTAAGAAACTTTAAGCTCAGCTGTCAGAATAATCAGAGAAGAGGCTGTCAAACTGTCAAGATAGGGAATTGAAAGAAACAGTTATGTCAAACCAAAAGTTATGATTGACAAGGGGATTCTGTCTGGTGTTTGAGTACGGTGAAGTGATGGTGTTGGAATAGATGGGATTGTATTTTACCATGTGTTTCAGAATCTTTCAGATTCTAAGTAAACAGCTTTAATCTATCTTCCTTTCTTTTGCATAATAAACTTCTCTTTTATTATTAAAATCAAATCTGCAACAATGTGTGCTTGTCTTTCAGTGAAAGAATGCTTCATTAAATAAAAACAAAACAAAATATAATGTAACGAGCCAAATTTCTACCTGCGATCTTGTCCAACAATAACACCTGCAGGGATCATAACAACAGGATTTTTAGCCAGCAACTGGCATGTCAGTACCTCAGCCTCATCCCACCCCAGGACCATTGTCCCAGAGACAGGATGGGCTAGAGGTGGAGGTTTGCTATGGGGTGGTAGGGCTATCTTCCTACAAATGAACGGTAGCCAGTTCAACCACTTTATTGTCTATTAACACCTGTTGCCAGAACCAAACTGGAATCTTTGATGTCCTTGTGAACCATCAGAACAGACAGACAGAGTTTTAGTCTAATGTTTTCTTTGAAAGATATCAACCACGACACTGCAGCAGTCTAACAGTACTGAAGAATCAGTTCATATGTTGAAACTGTAGAGTAGACCTTGAATCCACAACCTTAGGCTTAAAAGCAAAATACTGAGGAAGCTGGCAATCTGAAACAAACATACAGAAGGCTAGAGAAACTCAGCAGGTCTGACAACATGTGTGGAGAGAGAAACAGTTAACACTTTGCAGTCTGGTATGTCTTCAGAAGTCAAATTGACGCCAATGGGAAATTTTCTTGTGTGTGAAACGGGGGTGTATTAATTTCCCAATGAAAGTGCAGTGTGGTATAATTTGTCTCCAGTATAAAACAAATTGGAAATTGTACCAATAATCTCCATACTGAGCTCACTCTAAATTTATGCGGGATGTCTGTGTAAATTTCATTCAGATAGCAGTGCCTTATTAATAATTTTCATGTATCTATCCCTACATAGTGACCTTGGTTGGAACAAAATTGAATTTATACATCAAGAATCATTTATTTCTTCACCATCTTTAATCAAACTGTAAGTCTCTAAGGTCTATATATTTTATGAACAATACATAATTTGGAGCAATTTTAAGATGCACAATGAATATACTTTTGTCCTTCACTAATTTAGTATTGTAAATGAGATGGTTTTCAACCAATGGGATTGTTACATTTTCATTAAACTATGACCCTATTTTTTAAATTCATCACACCTAAAATTTGATCAAATTTTAGCATGACATGGTGGTTTTTAATTTCTTTTCAGCTATGGTTTCAATATGGTGGACTTTGAATCCCTTTTATAATAGTCTCCTGAGCCTTTAACATCACTTTAAAAGAAAACTTTAAATTCCGAAGCCATGACCCAGGAACTGACTCCCGCTGTCTTTATTCTCAAATCAGATTTTCTACAGACCCCAGCAGGTTTACAAGGAAGAATTTTATGAGTCCTTAATTTTGGCAGAAAGCCTTGTTCGCCAGAGAGTGATTCAGAAATTCAACTACTTCGCTGAACGATTTTTCAACCATGGCTTGAAATTCCCGGGCAGTTCACACCAGAATTTCCATTATCACCTCCTATTGAGCAAAGATTTTTGTACTTGGAAAGGGTTCGTCACAGACCCACCTAAAGCCAAGGCCAAGAGAGAATTGTATTGTGCATCGGCCAAAATGGTGCCAGATCTCCACTGCTGGAAGTTTTGTCCCAGAACCCAGCACCCATCATTCTTCATAGAATCCCTACAGTGCCAGTCAGCCCGTCGAGTCTACTCCAACCCTCTGAAAATAATTCCCCCTACCACCGTTCTTCCTGTAACCCTTCATTTCCCATGACTAATCCACCTAGCCTGTGCTTCCCTGCACATTGTGGGAAATTTAGCATGGCTAATCCGTCTAACCTGCACGTCTTTGGACTATGGGACGAAATCGGAGTACCTGGAGGAAACTCACGCAGACACAAGGAGAATGTGCAAACGCTACACAGACTGTCACCCAAGGGTGGGATCAAATCCAGGACCCTGGCGCTGTGACACAGTAGTGCTAACCACTGTGCCACCATGCTGCCCTGCAATAGGGTTAGGCTTCTTGACTGGGAGTGGGTATGGCATGAAGCTGGGGAAACAGAAGCAGTACATACTTTGTCCCTTACAGTTCAAGGGTGCACCTGCTCAGGGGCAAGTGCATCTGCCTTCAAACAGAAACCGTTTTCCTCAAGATTTCTAAGATATGACTCATGGGCTTTAGACTTTTGAGGAAATGTCTAAACCCAGCAGGGTCTTTGGAAGAGAAGGTGCCCTTCTGAAGAGGTCAGCTACCCCTTTATAATTGTTAACAGTTGACATTAATGTGTAAAGTCATTTAAATCCCAAGCCCTTTAAATTTGGGGGTAAGAATCCCGCCTGTAGTTAGAAAAAAGGCATTGCTGGCAATTTCACTGCCTGTGATGTAAGGATTGGTGCTGCCTTGCTGCTTCTAAAACCTATCATAGTTTGATTGACAGCTACAAAAGATGCTGGTGACATTTGCTGTCTTTGACATGGGGCAATGATTATAAGTGCTTGTTTTTATAAAGTATTTGCAGAGATTTTAATGTTATCAATTAGAATTGATTATCAGTATATAGTGAAGTTTGCAGTAGATTATTGCAACTTAATTTCATCTCAGCATGGATCCTGAGGGCTGTCCACCTTGGATATTGGAGGTGTTGGTATGGAAGGTGTAAAGACAAAGATGGGGGCGTAAGCTAGGTTGGCGTAGGTATAATAAAAGCCAATGAGATTGAATTGGGTGCCATGGATTGGTGGCCATGTAGTGGGGGTGGGAAGTAATGGGAGATGGTCTATCTTGGCATGGATAAGCACAGGAAATGAAACACAGGAAGTCTGAAGGTTAAAGGCTAAAGTTCAGGTTTTCTTGCAACTGGACAAACTCCCACCCACTGAGACTAGCGTTTTAAACAAGTTGCCTTTGTCACCCATCCACTCTTGTAGCTGCATCCAGACTGTTTCCAGAGGATACGGTGAGCTCAATGCAGCTGGCCGTATTCCCTCCCACCCCAAGTCTATAAGTTGTCCGTCGGTCTCCAGAATTAATTGGGTAAGTTCTGTAAATCATTTCAGTTGGCAGGTTTCCAGAAACTGAAAGAAAAAGAACCAATTTAAAGGAAGCTCATACAGCTGTACGCAATGTTAAACTTTGGAAACATAACATTTACCCTTGCCCTCTACCCTTGGCCAGACTATGTGAAGAATCACTCACACAGTAATACCAATACAGATTTTATTGCTGATAGTTTCAGGCTACTTGACATTTCCTTTGCATTTTTATTTCCTCAACTATGTCAAGTATAGTAAACTCTAGAATTATATCAAACTAAATGTTACTCCCAAAATTTAATAAGTAGTTTATTATTCATTCATATACAAATAATCATTCCATACAGTGACCTGACCTTCAATCTTCTGTCATCTCTTCCTGTATCTGGACTAAGTGGATTAACACATCTCAAAATAACTGGCAATCAAGCTCTCCAGGATTTGTTACCTATAGAAAGCCTCCGGAACTTGAGGTAATATAAACACCTTGTTTGTGCTTTAGTCTTTACCATGAGAAATTCATTAATAAAGTAACTGACAGATTATGACTCATTCCAAAATTGACCAGCTGGTAGGCTTTATTGGACTAATATGTGAGATATAAAGAGAACCATTTGTAATAAGAGAAAGTGCTGGTGAGACTCAACAGAGCTGATAACATCTGAGGAACCGAAATGGAGTTAACGTTTCGAGTCCAATATGACTCTTCAGGATTGAATCTTACATATTTTTGGCTCAGTCTGAGTTGCATCAAGATTTTTGTAGGGTGTGTTTCTGCAAGACCTAATGAGTTATTTTGCTGTATCTTACCAAACTTGTCGCATTAATTACCAACCCCACTCCTTTGGTGTCTCTCATGTTTGATTCTGACTCCATCTTACCACATCATTCCCAGAACTCATTGCCACTCAGTGGGCATCCACCAAAACACTGGCATCCTTTGTGCACATGCCATCTTTGAACAGATACAGTGCACCTGGACAAGCATTGGCAGTCCAGTGTTGCCCCTCACCAGCAGCATATTGGCACAGCAGCCTCAAAGCCAATCTCCACACAGCTGGCACTCCATCACACATACAACCCCATACTCTTACCCTAGTCACAACTTAGGCACCACACCACACACTGTACCTGTCCAAAACTATTATCTGTCTGAATACTCCAAGTCAGCGCTAGCCTGATCCCAATGCCCACCTGTTTACGCACAGTTTGTTGTTGTCTTATAGGAGAATGTCACATACAGGCAAAATCCAAATGGGACAAATCCAAACATGAGCTTTTAATCACAGACAGCTAAAGGAAATTCAAATGAAACCAAAATAGGCTGAAGTTCACCATGATAATACAAGACAGATTTTAGGGCATTCTGTGATCTGAATATTTTACAGCCCACAACTGTGTGCTACTCCTAATTCTAATCTGCCAGAACCAAGTGTTAATCAGGTTCTGTCTGGCTTGCGGTGCCCAATACAACAGTGCTCTGTCATGATCAAACTCAGCTTTCTTCTTCTCAGTCCCGTCAGAAGGGCAGGACTGCTCCTGTTCTTCCAGCTCCTCAACATCCAGCACATTGTCCTGTTGCCGACTTCAATTGTGCGGGGCATTGCACACCAGGATGATGTGACACACTCTGTCCAGCCTACACTGGAGCTCCCCCCTCCCAGAATGGTCTAAGCAGTGGAGCCACATGTTCAACAACCCCTTTGTCTGTTCAACCATAGCCTTGGCTGCAGTATGGGTAAAGTTAAACCTGCACTGAGCATCTGTCAGAGGGTTCTTCAATGCTGTCATGAGCTATGGTCACTGTCGGTATTCCTTGTCCCCCAGTAAGCAACCTTGTAAGGACCCTGGACCCTTAAACGCACCAGACACGTGAAAATGTGCCAGAATGTAGAAGTCACGGCAGTGGGCACACACTTCCAGAAATCAAATGAAACCACTTTCTGATGTTCTGCAGCATTGTGATCTGTTCCTCTCATTGCCATGTACGCACAGTCAATGGCACCCTGTACTTGGGGAAAGCCAGCTATGTTCCTGAATCATACAGCTTGGGCTGCAGCACTAACCTTGTCTCAGGGGAAATTAAATAAACTGGTGTGACCTTGCACAGGTGGTATTGCTCACTGCCTGGATGTATTTGTGGGTGCATGACAAAGAGATCCCATACAGGTTACTCCCAGAAGGAGCCAGTCACACACAAGTTCCCCACTGCGGTGATCTGCACAGCAACTGGGAGATGTTGTCCTCCCACTCCTGCAGCCTCAGGTCCTGATCCAGCATCCGGCACTCTTCTGTCACAGTGTCCCAGGACAAACAAAACCTCTGTACGTGCTACATCTCGCTCATGCCCAGGAACTGGAGTCATTGCTGGTAAACTCTGAGCCTCGTGTGCATCCTTAGGGGGCCCTGCAACAGTGACCTCTCCCTAAGCATTGTGCCCCTTAACCTCTGTGGTATCCTGCTGCTGCTGCTCCTCCAGGGTTTGCCATTGCCCTAGTCCACCCGTATCAGTCTTCACCTTCTTAGGGAATTAGCCACAGCAACCAACATCCTACCACCCATCACTCTCAGTGGAAAGAACCTAAAATGGGAACAAAAGGAGCAAAAGAGATTCTAAGGTCTCAGAGCATGGCATACCCTGCAGATGAGAGCTGAGCACAGTTCTTCACACAGTTAGATAGGCTTTACCTACATAATGAGGGACATGTTACTATCATCCATCCATCTGCAGCTCAGCACATGCAGCAACTTGAAGGTGCCATGCCTATGTGAATCCCCAGTGTCATAGGGAAAGGTGTGCTGGATGTGTTTTGACACCCTTCCTAACCCAGACTGACATCAAATGCCTATCTCCTCAATGCAGTCAGTACGGACCATTGTAACACTTTCATGGCAGATGCAGAAGTGATGTTGTGTGGCTCAGACAGGATTCCTGCAAGTTCAGTGAACAGTGGTTCCCCTTCAGTCAGCTCTGGCAATTTGTAATGTAATTGCTGCTCACTTCCACATTATTTTAATGCAGAAATTCAGTTTGTGAGCACCAATGGCTTGGTGCAAATCACTTTTACCCACTATCTGACCACTAAACACCCTCACAATGCAGCCTAGCAAATGGGCAAAATAATTGCATGTTAAATGAAGTTACGCTTTGCATACAGTTGCGTCATGTATTTGTTGCTACAATGTCCTAGCGTCCAGACTGACTTCTACCCTGCCTAACATAACCATTCTAGCATTTTCCAGTTAGTAGGGTTAAGGTTCCAGAGAACAAAGTAATGGCAGGGAATGAAGATCGTGCTGTATACCAACAGTACCAGGCCCTGCCTGATCACCGGGCATCTCCCAAAGCCTTCATGTCCCCTTTAACCCCCCACAGCCCATCTCCTCCCATCCTCCCCATGTAGAAACCCACCACATTGAACTTTGTCTACTAAGTACCTGCTCTGGTTTTCATGACTAGTTTTCTTGACGTCTAGCTGGTTTGGAGACTTTGGTAAGGAAGAAAGGTGAATATTAATGTTAATATTGTTAATAATGTTAATATGTATTAATGTATTAATATTAATGAGATTACGCAGTGTGGAGCTGGAGGAACACAGCAGGCCAGGCAACATCAGAAGTACAGGAAGGTTGACTTTTCTGGTCAGGAGCCTTCTTCAGAAAAATGCTGCTGCCTGGCCTGCTGTGTTCCTCCAGCTCCACACTGCGTTATCTCTGACTCCAGCATCAGCAGTTCTTACTATCTCTGAGTGAATATTAATGAGACAAGTTATGCTGTCAACAAGGCATTTAACAAACAATAATCCCCCCTTAATAGGCAACTCACTGCTGCCTTGTGAGAAACTCACATGCCACTTGTGAAAAGCCTAAAAAGTGAAGCAGATTGCTCCTGCCATTGAGATGGACCAGACTTCTCACCTGGTTCTAACTCATCCCTCCTTAGCTCACATTGCTCAGACCCCTAAAAGAATCTACCTTCTGTTTCTGCCAAGCCTGCTGAGTCTTTTCAGCACTTTGTTATTTTGACTGATCTCAAACAGATGCAGTACTTTCCTTTTATTTGAATGTGTAATAACACCCCACAGTATAATAATTTCACATTAAATAAAACAAGACATCTGTTGTATTTCTTTTAGAAATTGTCGTTCCTGTATTTTTAATGTTCTATTGGTTTAATCTTTAAATTTACAGGGTGTTAGAAATGCCCTATGCTTACCAATGCTGTGCATATGGATCTTGTGAAAATTCCTACAAACTCACAAATCAGTGGGAGAAAGTTGAGAACAGCAGTGAGGAGGAAGCTCACAAACAGGATGCTGGAATGCTCTCTGGGCAAGGTAATAGGGAAATGGTCATCATTTATTCTACCCACTGTTGAATGAGCTAAACCTCTGAAATTCAGCTCCAAAATCTATTATAACTATTCTTACAGGAAAACGGAAAGCATATTGCTCTAAATTTCCATTTATCTCTGAGCACTTGATGATTGATATCATGTTATTTCACTACAAGTATTTGTATTCAGCCTATTTGGATATGATATCATGCAAGACTTGAATCCCACTCTCCTATTTGAGAGGTAGTGACACCACTGCTGTATCACAGACCCCATTATATTCTAAGGTCTGGGGGATGGCAATGGCTTTATGGTATTGTCACTAGACTATTAATCCAGTAATGTTCTGATGACCCGTGTTCAAATCCTGCCAGGGCAGATGGTGGAATTTGAATTCAATTTTTAAAATCTGGAATTAGGATTCTAATGGCGAACATGAAAAACCATTGTCAATTATTGGAAAAAACCCATCTGGTTCACTAATGTCCTTTAGGGAAGAAAACTGCCATCCTCACGTGGTCTGGCTTGCATGTGACTCCAGTCCCACAGATACCTAACTGCCCTCTGGGTAATTATGGATGGGCAATAAATGCAGGCCTGGCCAGTGATACCCACATCCCACGAATGAATTAATAAAATGTACGAAGTATTGAGACAAGTAATCTTACCGATTTATCATTTTCTTAATTGTGTCCTCTGCCGAATGGCAGACCCAACCCACCATATCACAGCCTCCACCATAGGCAGGGGAAGGAGACAGGTCCCAAATCTATCCCAGCTTGAATGGTATTTGAGCCCTGTGCTGATGGCACCAGTCTCATCCACAGTTACCCAGTCAACTGAGCCAACCAGTCCTTTCAAGGGATCCAAGTTGCTGAACGCTATTGCCAATAAGCAATGGATCATGAAGATAGAGACTTGAATTTCTTTCCATCACATGGCTGCCCAGGAATCTCTTCCACTCATTACTGCCTGCCAGTGGAGTACGCTAGAATGATATTATGAATGCATCTTCCTTGACATGAAGTCCTGCAGTGGGACTTGGAATGAAGAGCTTCTAGTTTGGAGGTAGGGACACTACCCACTATGCCACAAGACCTTCTCATTTCTGATGATGCACCCTCTAGAAAACATGATGGCAATTACAATAGCAATGTATAGTTGTAGACACTGCTGGGCAAAACCTAACTTAATGTAAGAATGATGCATGAAGTTATTTATATGGTTCAGATGCATTGCCTGTTTGTGAAAGAAGGCCAGCAACAGAATGTTTGTGCATGCAGGACAAAATTTATATTAAGCATGATGACTACTAAATTATATGTAATATGCAGATGATCAGGACCCTGACGATTTGCTAACAGACTTTGAAGAAGTTCCTAAGGTCCATCATTCTATCCAATGTGCTCCATCTCCAGGTAAATTGAAAGCATTAAATAATAATTTTGTAATCATGTTCTGTTTTTTGAAAAAGAAACCTCAGGTCTTGGCCTCCATAATGATTCTACAAGCAGCTGATCCCAAAGACCAGAAATAACTAGGTTTAATCCCCAGCCTGTGTTTGGCTAAGTGATTCCAACCACAACAATGATATGAAACTCAGCATCAGAGTTTAGAGACTAAAAGTTGAGCAAGGGTTCACTTGTACCAATACATTTAATATCAAAATCTTCAAATTAATAATTGGCAGATTTAGAACCAATGTTAACCACCCCAGATTTGTCCTGAAAACTAAACACTAGACAAATCCACCGGACTGTTTATTGCCCTATCTGTCTATTCTCGATCAGCAAAGTGATGGAATGAGCTTTTCAGTGCTACCAACTCAGCAATAACCCGCTCATTGACACTCAGTTTGTGTTTCGCTACGGCCGCTCAATTCTTGACCTCATTACAACGCAAGTGTAAACTAAAGAGCTGAACTACAGAGGTGAGGGGAAGGTGATTGCAGTTGGCGCATTGTATCAAGGATACCTGGCAGAACTGGAGTCAATAGCAACGTGGGGGAAACCCCCTCTAATAACTGGAGTTAGTTCTAGCACAAAGAAGGATGGTTGTGGTTGTCAGAGGTCATTTATCTCAGTCCTGGGACATCGCTGCAGGATTTCCTTGGGTACGGGCCTTGGCTCAGTGACCTCAGCTGCTTTATCAAAGACCCGGGTATTCAGTATTTAGGAAGAACAGGCAAAAAGGAAAACGTGGTGGAGTGGCATTGCTGGTTAAAGAGATATTAACACAATAATGAGAAAGGATATTAGCTCTGACAATGTGGAGTCTGCGTGGGTAGAGTTGCGAAATACCAAAAGGGGCAAAAAACATTAGTGGGTGTTATATATAGATCCCCAAACTACAGTGATGATGTTGGGAATGGCATTAAACAGGAAAGTAGAGATGAATCTGATAAGGTAATATTGGTGATCATGGGTGATTTTAATCTGCACATAGATTCAGCAAATCAAATTAGCCACAATGCCGTAGAGGAGGAATTCCTGGAGTGTATACGGATAGTTTTCTTGACCAATATGTGGAGGAACCAACTAGAGAGCAGGCCATCTTAGACTGGGTACTGTGTAATGAGAAGGGAATCATTGCCAATCTAGCTGTGCGAGACCCCTTGGGGATGAGTGACCATAACATGATGGAATTTTTTTATCAAGGTGGAGAAGGAGCTAATTGATTCAGAGACTAGAGTGCTGAACCTTAATAAAGGAAACTATGAAGATATGAAGTGTGAGTTGGCCTTGATAGATTAGGGAGAGTTACTTAAAGGGATGACAGTGGATAGGCAATGGCAAACATTCAAGGAACATATGGGGGAACTGCAACAACTGTTTATTCCTGTCTCGCACTAAAGCAAAATAGGTAAGAGGGCCAATCCATGGCTTACAAAGAAAATTATGGATAGTATCTGATCCAAGGAAGAAGCATATAGATTGGCCAAGAGAAATAATATGTCTCAGGATTGGCAGCAGTTTAGAATTCAATAAAGAAGTACCGAGGGATTGATTAAGAAGGGGAAAATACAGTAGGAAAGTAAGCTTGCAGAGAACATAAAGACTGACACTAAGAGTTTCTATAGGTATGTCAAGAGAAAGAGACGGGTGAAGACAAATGTAGGTTCCCTACAGATAGAAATGGAGGAATGTATAATAGGGTACAAAGAAATGGCTGAGCAACTGAATGCATACTTTGGTTCTGTCTTCACAAAAGAGGACCCAAATCAGATACCAGAAATGTTGGAGAATGCAAGATTTAGCAAGAACAAAGAATTGTGGGATATCAATATTAGTAGAGAAATGGTGCTGGGAACATTGATGGGACTGAAGGTGGATAAATCCCCAGGGCCTGATAATCTATATCCCAGTGTACTTAAGGAAGTGGCTCTAGAAATAGTGGATGCATTGGTGGTCATCTTCCAGGATTATATAGACTCTGGAACAGCCCTGCAGATTGGAGGCTGTCTAATGTCACTCCAATATTCAAAAAGGAGGGTAGAGAGAAAACAGGGAATTATAGACCAGTAAGCCTAACATCGGTAATGGGGAAAATTCTCGAATCCATTATCAAGGACTCTATAGCGGAGCATTTAGAAAGCAGTGGCAGGATTGGACAGAGTCAGCATGGATTTTGAAGGGGAAATCATGCTTGACAATTCTGTTGGAATTCTATGAAAATGTAACTAGTAGAGTTGATAAGGTGGAGCCAGTCATGTGGTATATTTGGACTTTCAGAAAGCGTTTGACAAAATCCTAAATAAGAGATTATTGTGCAAGATTAAACTGCATGGGATTGCAGGAGGTGTATTGAGATGGATAGAAAACTGGTTGTTAGAGAGGAAACAAATAGTAGGAATTGGTGGGTCCTTTTCAAATTGGCAGGCAGTAATTGGTGGGGTGTCATAGGGATTAGTGCTGGGACCCCAGCTATTCACAATATAAATGATTTGGATGAGGGAACAAAGTGTAACATCTCAAAGTTTGCAGATTATACCAAGTTGGGTGGGAGGGTGAACTGTGATGAGGATGCAGAGATCCTGATCTGAGCAGTTTGGGTGAGTGGACAAATCAATGCCAGATGCAGTATAATTTGGATAAATATAAGGTTATTCACTTTAGAAGCAAGAACAAGAAGGAGATTACTACTTGAATGGATGTAAATTGGGAGAGGGGAGTGTGCAGTGGGACTTGGGTGTCCTTGTGCATCAGTTGCTGAAGGTAAGCATGCAGGTGCAGCAGGCAGTAAAGGAGGCAAATGTTATGTTGACTTCCATTGTGAGAGGTTTTGAGTACAGGAGCAGGGATGTGTTGTTGCAGTTATACAGGGCCTTGGTGAGGCCACACCCAGAATACTGTGTGTAGTTTTGGTCTCTTTTTCTGAGGAAGGATGCTCTTGTTCTCGAGAGAGTGTAGTGAAGGTTTACCAGGCTGATTCTGGGAATGACAGGACTGATGTATGAGGAGAGATTGACTAGGTTGGGATTATTTTCACTGGAGTTCAGACGAATGAGGGGGCATCCTATAGAGGCTTATAAAATTCTAACAGGACTGGACAGGGTAGATGCGGGGAGGATGTTCCCGATGGTGGGTGTGTCCAGAACCAAGGGTCACAGTCTGACGATTCAGGGTAGATCATTTAGGACGGAGATGAGGAGACATTTCTTCACCCCGAGAGAGTGGTGAACCTATGGAATTCATTACCACATTAAGTTGATGCCAAAACATTGAGTGTATTCAAGTGGCAGCTAGATATAGCACTTGGGGTGAATGGGATCAAATGTTATGGGGAGAAAGTAGGATTAGGGTATGGACTTGGACGATCAGCCATAATCATGATGAATGGCAGAGCAGGCTCGAAGGGCTGAATGGCCTCCTCCTATCTTTTATGTTTCTATGTTTCTCTCCATCAAAAGGTCAGAAGTGGGAATGTTCACTAATAATTATAAATCAGAGGCTAGGAAACCTGTGTCAAAGCTCCATCATGCCCAGCTACCATCTACAAGGCACAAGTCAGGATAGTGATGGAATGCTGTCCACTTGCCTGGATTGGTGCAGCTGCATAAAAAGCTCCACAGCATCGAGGGCAAAGCAGCCCACTTGGCTGGTGTCCCATCCACCATCTTCACTACTCACTTCCTTCACCACCAATGGTCAGTGACAGCAGTGTACACCATCTACAGGATGCACTGGGGCAACTCACCAGAGCCTCTCTCCTGCTGCAGTTTCCACACCTGTAACCTTTAATATCTTGAATGACAAGGAAGCGGTCACATGACAACACCACCACCTGCAAGATCCCCTCCAGACAGCTCACCACCCTGACTTGGAAACATATTGCCATTCCTTCATTGTTACTGAGTCAAAATCCTGGAACTCTCCTCTTAATAGCAGTCTGAGACTGAGCTGCAGCAGTTCAAGAAGGCAGCTCACCACTGCCTTCTCAAGGGCAATCAGAGATGGGCAATAAATGCTGGCCTAGCCAGCAATGCCATATCCCTTAAACAATTCAAGGTGAAGGAAATTCTTCACACAGAGAGTGATCAATCTGTTTTGTCAAATACCATCCTTGTCCAATACTTCTCCATTGTTAAAAACCGAAAGAACTGCGGATGCTGTAAATCAGGAACAGAAACAAAGTTGCTGGAAAAGCTCAGCAGGTTTGGCAGCATCTGTGAAGGAAAAAAACAGAGTTAATGTTTTGGGTCTGGTAACCCTTCCTCAGAACACTTCTCCACTGTTGTTCAGTTGGATGAGATGGCACTTGCCTGGGGCTATCCTTATATTTCTTATCACAGCCAAAATGCCACTTGCAATGGCATCTCTTCCTGCCTCATTATTTCTGGTATCCACCAAGACCTATCTTCAGCCCTCCTATTTCTCATTCACATACTGCCACCATGATATAATCTCAAACTACAGAGTTAATTTTCACATGTGTATAGACAATGCCCAGCTTGACCTCACCGCCATCACTTCACTGTTTCTAAATTATCAGGTTGCTTGTCTGTCATTTGCTACTGGATGAGCAGAAATTTTTCTCCTGATTAAATGTTGTGAAGACTGAAGCTATTGTTTCCTGCCCCACTCCAAACATTGTTCCCTAACTAACAACTTCATATCTTAATAAAAACCAAAAGAACTGTGGATGCTGTAAATCAGGAACAAAAACAGAAGTTGCTAAAAAAAAAGCTCAGCAGGTCTGGCAGCATCTGTGAAAAAAAAAATCAGAGTTCCGTCTCGTGTTGGGTGACCCTTCCTCAGAATGCTCTGAAGAAAGGTCACTGGATCTGAAATGTTAACTCCATTTTCTCTCCACAGAAGCTGACAGAAATTGCTGGAAAAACTCAGCAGATCTATTTTTTTGTTTCAGTCTGTTCAACCACCTCAGTTTTAAATAGGCCCTGAGATGAACTTGCAACCATATATTCAGTAAGATTCCTTATTCCCATCTTCCTAACATCGCCTTTCTTTGCCTTTGCCTCACCTTAATTCCTTGTTACCGTTAACTTGACTAAGATATTCCTGCCTGACACCCCTTATTGCATCATCAGTGAACGCAAGGTCATCCAAAACTCCGCTGCCTATGTCCTTTCCTGTAAGAAATACTTTCCACCATTGCTCTGTGTTGGCTGACTGTTTTAAATTCCTGTGTGGCCTCACTCCTCTCTATTCCTGTAATTTTTACTAGCCCAATAACCCTGAAATATCTGGTTCTCTGGTTTTAATTGCTTCATAGTTGATGGCTATGACTTCAGGTGCCTGGGCACCAAGCTTTGACATCCCCTTCCTAAACCCTCTGACTCTGTACCTCTTTCTTTCTTAAGATGCTCCTTACAACTCTTTGACCAGTCTTATGGCTATAATCTCTCCTTAGGTACTCAGTGTCTAATTTACTTAATAATACACCTGTGAAATGCCTTTTGGGACGTTATTCAGGGAAGTCATATTATAAATACCAGCTGATGTTTTATTTAATGAATAAATACAAGGTAGAAGGCTAAAAGGAGATTTCTTTTCCATCCACAGTGTGGTGGGAGTCTGGACCTCTGAGTAAGAAACTCTCATAATGTTCAAACAGTGTTTAGATATTTAATTGTGTAGCCATAGCCTCCAGGGATATGGCCAAAAACTAGAAAATGGGATTAATGAGGTCGGATCTTTGTTGGCCAGCATGGACATGATGAACCAAATGGCCTGTTTCAGTGTTATATGCATTGATGAATGTATAAAAACACTTTACATTCTAATCTGACTTGGTATACCCCAGGTTGCAAAGCATTTTGATAAAGTAAAAATGATTCATGGCTTTTAAAAAATGTTTCATATTTTGTATTGATTCTATTCAAATACAAAATTGACTTGTATGATAATTAAAATGTTGAACATTTATAATTTCCGGAATGAATTTTCCTTTAGAGATAATTTGCAACTAAATTTCATTTCAGGTAGTTTTGGTTTTGTGCCTGAATGTAAAATGGGTAGTTTCCCAAATATTATTTTCATTGATTTCAATTAGGTGAGTGTTTAAACAGTCTGGTAATTTCAATATCGTCAGCTTTACCTTATCGCACCAAGTCAAAATAATCCCCATCAAATTGATTTTCACAGTCAGGTGTGGAAATAATAACATGTTAATATGAATTAATTATGTTCTTTTTAATTGCAGGACCCTTCAAGCCATGTGATCACCTGTTTGGTAGTTGGATGATACGCCTTGGCGTGTGGAGCATTGTTTTGCTCTCTCTTGTCTGTAATGGTTTAGTCGCCACAACAGTTTTTGGATCGCCGGCATTTATTGCCCCACCAAAACTTTTAATAGGCCTCATGTCACTCGTGAATGCTCTGATGGGGGGTTATAGTGGCATTTTGGCAATTGTGGATCTGTGGACATTAGGCAGATTTGCAAAATATGGAGCATGGTGGGAAAATGGAGTTGGCTGTCAAGCTGCAGGTTTTCTGTCTGTTTTTGCTTCAGAGATGTCCATTTTCTTACTTACAGTTGCAGCAGTTGAACGCAGTCTATTTGCAAAATGTGATATAAAACACGGAAAATCTCTGGCTAGTGTCAAGATAGCAGCTACCTTCTGTGCGATTCTGGCATCCGTAATAGCAATGCTTCCACTGTTCAACATTGGAGATTACGGGATTTCTCCGCTTTGTTTTCCTTTACCCTTCGGGGAACCATCAACTTTAGGCTTTCTTGTCGCTTTAGTTTTGCTGAATTCTCTTTGCTTCCTTGTAATGACAATAACCTACACAATGCTTTACTGCCGTTTGGAAAAGGGAGACCTACACAGCCTTTGGGACTGCTCAATGGTTAAACATGTTGCCTGGCTACTATTCACTAATTGTATTCTGTATTGCCCTGTGGCTTTCCTGTCATTTTCTTCCTTGTTGAATCTCACAGTTATTAGTCCAGAAGTAATCAAGTCAATACTCCTAGTGATTCTTCCATTGCCAGGATGCTTCAATCCCTTGCTCTACATTCTTTTTAACCCACATTTCAAAGATGATCTTGGATTTCTGAGGAAGCATGGTCAATTATGGAGGAAATCAAAGCAAAGAAGTTTGGCCTCAATAATTTCAGAAGATGCAGAGAAACAGTCTTGCGATTCTACTCAAGAACTGGTGACATGCCCAGGAAGCAGAAATGTTGCATGCTGTGACTCCATGAACAATACTTCCAGACCACTGACTTACCAGATGATGGAAACTTGACAGTAGTCATTTTTGTTTACCATCATTTAATTGTCAAGGCAAAGGACCAAGAAAGGGAACTTCATACCAGGTTAAACTGGTTTGCTTCAGATAGTTCTAAACACAATTTTTTAATAGCACATATTTATGCATGACCCTTCCTTTCCCACTGAAACATTTAACCTGTAGCAGAGAGATCAAATTATGTGAAAAACCTTTACAGTCCAGAAGATCAGAGTAACCATTTCCTTCATTACTCCAGGAAGTTCTCCAGATGCCATGTTGTCAATCAACCACTGCAATGATTCAACCAATAAAAGCCTCATAATTACACATTTTGTTTGAAACCCAAGTTAATAAATGAGAAGTTTGAAAGCTTTATCAGCAGATGCACTTTGGCCTCAAAACTTAATGCACAGTTCTTGAAACAGTGAAGAGCTTCCTTCATGCAGTTCATCTCATAGATCATTTTGAGTGCTGGTGACACGACGACCAGGATTGCCTTTTCCCATAATATATAGACCTGGAGAGATTTTACAGCATGGAAAAGGTGCATTGTACCAGACCCTTAAACTCCATTCAAATATAATACAATGTCCCTTAGGTCCTGAGTAAACTTAGTTTCAAATGTAAAGACTGCAATAGATTTGCTGAATATAGGCCTCTCACAGCAGCACTTCTGTTCGACATCTTCAATTTAAATTTGTTATGAATAATGCATCTCATTAATTTTTAATGCTTTGTCTACATATTCAACAATTTATTGATTTAGATGATAATTACAATTCTTCAGACCTTGTCCATTGACAAAAAAAGTTCCAAACTACATGGATCAATAAGGGATAAACTTTACCTGTAAGCCTTACGAGTATCATGTGTAATGAGCATCTCATTTCACCTTTCCCCACCAGTTCGACCTTCAGATTCATAAATTACCTGATGCCACAGTGTAGAACAGTCAGTTAAAGTATGGTTCACAGGCACATAAGATTCAACAGATTCCTGAAAACATTAAAAATATCTGATAACTGGTTGTTAAAAGGGACATACCTGAACTTCCATTAGTGATTTTAATGGGTTAATGTGCCAAACATTATTCTGCTCAATCATAAATTTTAATGATCAACTAGGATAGCGGATGTAAATCTGGAGTTTAATTCGCTGCAGAGATAGTAGGAACTGCAGATGC